GTAGCTCAGAGTGACAGGTTTGGGAAGCTTCTGTGGGGAGGCGGCACTTGGGCTTTGGCAGGGGGGGTTTGGAGGGAGATGGGGAGGGCACCGCGGATAAGAGGTTTGGGGACACAGAGAGGGGTGGAGGCAACTGTGGGGTGTGGCCGTAGGGTCTCCAGGGGGCGCAGAGCAGACTGGTCTGTCGCACTGGGGTGGACGTGATGGGAGAGAGGTCGAGAGGTCGGAGAGGTCGGAGAGGGCCGGGCACGCGCACTGCTGGGGCGGAGTCTCAGACCAGGCTCACTCCGGTTCTTTTGCAGCTAATTCATTTTATCTCTTCTCGGGGGCTTTCGGGGTTTTTCTCTTCATTTGGACACTTAGACATTTCTCTACGGTGTTTCTAGATGGGTGATGTCTGGCTTTTTGGTTATTGTTTCATATTGTGGTTACTTTTTAATTTAAAAAAATTTTTAAATTGCTGTTCAAGTACAGTTTTCTGCCTTCCCCCTCGTGTGCTCACTCGTTAACTAGCGTGTGACATTTATTAACTGCACACACCTGAAAAAACAGCTCGATGCAGGTTTACACGTGTCTGCACTCTCGGAAGCACCGCCTCGGTCCACGCACAGACCCCCTGCTGCCGGCGCCCCGCACGCAGGCTCCCTTCCACTGCCCGCCCCCCAGGGAAACGCCGTTCTGACCTCTGATGCGTCGGTTAGTTTTGCCGATGTTCTTGAACTTCATGGAAATGGAAACTTACAGTTGTATGCTTTTGAATACTTTTTATTTATTTATTATTTTTTAAAGATTTTATTTATTTATTTTTAGAGACGGGGAGGAGAAAGGGAGAGAAATATCAATGAGGGAGAGAAATATCAATGTGTGGTTGCCTCTCTTGCGCCCCCTACTGGGGACCTGGCCTGCAACCCAGGCATGTGCCCTAAGTGGGAATCAAACTGGCAACCTTTTGGCTTGCAGGCCAAGCTCAATCCACTGAGCCACACCAGCCAGGGCTGCTTTTGAATACTTTCTAAAGAATAAATAAACTTCTATACTGTAGAGCAGTCTTAGATCTGCACGGTGACCGGGAAGAGAGTTCAGCGAGCTCTGGCGCTCATCACCCCTGTTCCCTGTTAACTTCTCAGGCTCCTGTGGTCGTTACAATCGGCAAACGAATATCGATGCGTCACTACCAACTGGAACCCGTACTGTATCCCGAGTTTCTCCGTTTTCCCCTGGTGCCCTTTGTCTGCCCCACGATCCCTCGCAGGTCTCCTGGGTGCTCCTCTAGGCTGTGGCAGTTTCTCAGACTTTTCTCGTTTTGATGGTCACTGTGTACAATATTCCTCAGTTGGGGTTTGTCTGATGTTTCTCTCACAGTTAGACTTGGGATATGGTGTTTTCTTTTTAAGACTTTACTATTTCTAGAGAGAGGGGAAAGAGGGAAGAAAGAGAGGGAAACATCAATGTGTGGTTGTCTCTTGCACACCTCCCACTGGGGACCTGGCCTGCAACCCAGGCATGTGCCCCGAGTGGGAATCGAACCAGCAACCCTTTGGTTCGCAGACTAGCATTCAATCCACAAAGCCATGCTGATTCTAGGGAGGAAGACCGCAGAGGTAAAGGGCCATTTCCATCACGTCCTCTCAAGGGCACGCGCCCGGCATGACTTGCCTCGGTTGATGCTGCCCTCGGTCCCCCGGCCGAGGTAGGGTTTGTCAGCTTTCTCCGCCGTGGTTACCGTCCCCGGCTTCCACCGCGGGCCACCAGAGGGATGTCACCCGGCGGCCCGCACGCGAGGACTATGGAGCGGGTCTCCGGCTCCTCCAGGGGAAGGAGCTACCTCCGCTATTTGGGAATCTTCGTGGAAGGGTATCTCCTCTCCCTCACTGAGTTATCTAGTCTGTTGTTTGTTGGCATCGGTGTGGGCTTGTGGAAATTTATTTTACATTCCGGGCTGTGATCCAACGCAGCACCATCTGTCTTGTTGCTCAGGTTGGTCCAGCTTTGGCCACGGGGAGCTCTTTCCCTCTGCTCCGAGTCCCCCCGACCTGCCATCCTCGGCGTGTGTGTGCTGTGTGTGTGCGTGGCGCTTCCTCACGTTCTGACACATGCGACGCCCCAGGCTCCTGCTGCGTGTCCCCGCCTCCGCCATGGATCCCACCGTTTCCCCAAGGGGCCCTGGTCCCTTCCCTGGAGAAGGGTGTTAGAAACCAAGGTCCTGTGTGATCTTGGCTCCCGGGGTGTCCTGGCCTCTAGGGGCTCCCAGCTGACAGAGCAAGGACATGCGAGTCTGTGTGCAAACCCCCCTATCTGTAACTATTTCTGCACGTAACTCTACGTCTCTGTGGGAAGCCAGCCCCGAGTTTATGTTGATGTTTCCAACTCTAATCCATTCCCACACGGAACATTCTAGTCTCTCCCTTGCGCATCATCTGTACCCTCCCTCCCCCGCCGTGAGGCGCCTGGCTCCCACGGTCCGCGAGTGAGGTCCCTGCCGGTTTCACTCCAGGGCGCAGGTACGGTGGGGCTGGAATTGTCAGCTCGTGTCCCCGCCGGAGGCGGCTGTACCGACCAGAAGACGGTCATTTCGAGGCAGGAGACCGACCGCCCGGGGAGAACTCTGAGACCTCACCGCTGTCACCGGCCAGTGTCTGGCTCCTGGTTGCCGGGAAACGCCTTTTACTACCTAGGCAGAATAAATAGTAAACCGAGGCAGGGAGGAGGAAGGAGACAGGTCGCACACGCTAACTCAGCTGTCCCGAGCCTGGTCCGATAATATCACCAGGTGTTCCAACATCACAAGAAACACCATGTTAGCAAGAAAGAAGGGAAGTCCTTGAAACTCTATGGAGAGTTTGCACAATCTGGGAAAGAAAGCCTGGAAACCGTGCTTTCATCCCAGGGCCTGGATGCGGGGAGGGTCCCCGGTGCCCAAAGAGTGAGCCCATAAGACAACTTTGGTGAACTGCCCACCTCTGGTCACTGTCTGTTTTACGAGGGAGCCCCTGATGCTCACAGAAAGAACCCATAAACAACTCTGGGTGACTGCCCCAATTTTAATAAACTGTCTCCTGTCACGTGTTTGTTTTACAACAAGGTGAACAAGTGGGGTTTGGAGCAAGATGAGGATTCTGGCTAACAGACGCCCACACATACCTGAGTCTGGGTGGTTACCTCCCCCAGGAAAGCTGGCACCGCATTTACCCGTTAATTAATATGTAACTTTTTTTCTCCCACCCCACCAACTATGTAAGTCCTCAGGACAAAGGACTCCTCTCCCTTTCTCCCCTCCCCCCTCTCTTGGGATCTGGGTGCTGTTGGCTCTCGGGCAGGTGGGCCTCTGGCCACCCGGCCTCAGGCTGCCCGGGGGCTTGCCACCCTGGCCTTCAGCCGCTCTTGCTTTTGCCGCCCAGCTTTGCCTTTCGCAACAGCCCCCGCCCCCCGTCCTGCTCTCCTCCTTGGGAACGGGCCACTGATAAACTGACTGCACGCCACTAGATCTGCTGGTCTGTAATTCTTTTTTTTCCTCTCTCTCTTTTTTAAAGATTTTATTTATTTATTTTTGGAGAGGGAAGGGAGGGAGAAAGAGAGAGAGAGAGAAACATCAATGTGCGGTTGCTGGGGGCCGTGGCCTACAACCCAGGCATGTGCCCTGACTGGGAATCGAACCTGCGACACTTTGGTTCGCAGCCCGTGCTCAATCCACTGAGCTTCGCCACCCGGGGCGGTCTGTAATTCTTTACGTGCGTCGGCAGGAAGAACCAGGCCTCCCCCGCCAACAGCTGGGCCTTTGTTTCGTCTCCCTCTCCCACGCCCCTCGGTGAGGTTGTCCCACACAGGTCTCGTCCAGGTTGACTCTTCTGTCCCGCTCTGCGCTCTGCCCCGGGGCCCTCGACTCCCCGCGACCCCTCAGTGGGTTGTTAAACGTGAGGACACACTGAAGTCCGTTCATGGTGATGCCAAGTTCTGTGCCTTTCGGCCAACGCCAAAGCCTGCTGCTCATTGTGGGTCTCAGACCCGGCGAGTTTACCTCCTTAAGCATCTGGTGTTTCTCGTACCCCTGCCTGCGCCCCACCCTGGAGCCCCGGGCAACTGCTTTGCGTGGCCCTCACGGCGCCGCCGTTTCCCGAGCGTCCCGTGAAGGGAGTCACGCAGCCCGCCTTCCTCACGGGGCAGTGCGCGCCTGAGACGCGCCCACGCCCTCTGCGCCGCGGTGGCCCGTTTCCTCCTCGTCTCAGAGCGACGTCCCGCTGTCTGGAGGCAGCGCCGCGCACTCCCCCAGGCACCCACTGCAGAGTGACTCGGTCGCTTCCCGCCGTGGGTGATTGTACACGTGCAGCTGTTTGCACGCACGCTGTAAACCCAGTTAGGTAAACACCCAGGAGCCCAGCCGGTGGGTAAGGAACTGCCCCAGTGTCCTCCGACATGGCCGCACCTTTGCGCAGCCCACTGGCCACGAAGGGCAGGCCCCACGGCCGGCATCCTCCGCCGCGGCTCGTGGCGCGATTAGCGTTCTGGATCTTAGCCGGTCCCAGTCAGAGGTGTGTCTCCTCGTTGGTCTCATTTGCGTTCTCCCGATGACGACACAGGATGCTGACCGCCCTTGTGCACCCTGTTTGCCCTGTGTGGGGAGGGCTGTGTCCAGATCTTTGCTTGTTCGTTAGCTGGGCTGCTTGTTTTCTGTTTTCTGTTTGTTTGGGCTATGTGTTTACCCACCTGGCAGAGCGGCAGGTGTGTTGACACCAGCATCACCGCGCACACACACGAGTGACGTGTTGCACTGTGATGTGATGATGTGAGGACAGCTGCGGTGTGGCCGGACAGGAAGAGTTTCAGTTCCATTATCTTTTTTAAATATTTTTATTTATTTATTTTTAGAGAGAGGGGAAGGGGAAGGGGAAGGGAGGGAGAAAGGGAGGGAGAGAAACATCAGTGTGTGGTTGCCTCTCACTCACCCCCTACTGGATACCTGGCCCGCAACCCAGGCATGCACCCCGACTGGGAATCGAACCGGTGACCCTTTGCTTTGCAGTCTGGAGCTCAATCCACTGAGCCACGCCAGCCAGAGCTCAGTTCCATTATCTTATGGGGCCACTGTAGTATATGTAGTTGGTTCTTTTCTTTTTCTTTTTTTAATTTTAATTGCTGTTCAAGTGTTTTCTAACTGTTGACGTCTAAGAATTGTTTGTATATTTTGGATAAAGGTTTTTTATTCAGATCCGTGCTCAGCAGCTGTTCTCTGTCAGCCTGGGGCTCGCCCGCCCCATTCTTTCAGCGGTGTCTTTCACAGAACAGACATTTTTAATTTTAATAAAGATGAAACTACATTTTTTCTCTTAGACCATGCTACCAGTGTTGTGTTTAAAAACTCATCACCAACCCCAAAGTCATGTAGATTTTTCTCCTATGTTTTCTTCAAGAAGTTTTGTTGTTTTGCATTTTACATTTAGGTTTACGAACCATGTTTTATAAAGGTTTTATTTATTTTTAGAGAGAGGGGGAGGGAGAAGGAGAGGTGGAGAAACATCAGTGAGCGCGAGGAACACCCCTGGGCGTCGCCCCTCCCGCCCTGGCCAGCGGCCTGCCCCCTACCTGGCCTGTGCCCCGACCTGGACCCCGCCCAGGCACCCTTTGGTTTGCAGGACGACGCCCAGCCCGCTGAGCCACACCAGTGTGTGTGTGTGTGGGGGGGGGAAGGGACCCATGACCCATTCTGAATTAATTGTCATGTAAGGTCTGGGTCTCCGTTCTTCGATTCTTCTGCATGTGGACCCCCAGTGGTTCCTGCTCCGTTTACTGAGGGACTTTCTCCGTAGAGCTGACTTTGGTCTGATGTCAGAGGTCAGCGGGCTCTAACTGTGTGGGTCTATTTCTGGGCTTTCTGTTGTGTTCCATTGTTCTGTGTGTCCTTTCTCCAGTAACACATTGTCATTGTCTTGACATCTAGTACTACGAGTCCTCCATCTTGGTTGCCTGGGTGCACTGTGGTCCCCGGGCTCCGGAATGGTTCTGGTTTGCATGTGAAAGGCACCCTCCCAGGCCAGGCATTCGCTGCCTCCAGGAACTGGGAGCCCTGGGCGGGGCAGCCTCTCCGGAGTCTGGAAAGCCCGATCTGGCTGGGTAGCGTCGGTGACTTGGAGCATCGTTCTGATGCACCAAGGTTGTGGGTTCGATTCCCATGCAGGAATCAACAATGAATGCATAAGTAGGTGGAATAACAAATGGATATTTCTCTCTCTCTAAGATAAATAAGAACTTCGAAAAAGAATAACAGAAACTGAAAGGGCACGATGAGTACATTTGGCCTCTGGATGCTGTGACCTCACAGGGAGGAATCTTCATGGGGATGGCAGAGAATCCGTGTAGTGTGAGAGCACAGACGACGTTTTATTACGAGGATGAAATGGAGTCGCACCAGTAGAAACAGCAGTCCCTCTGGGCTGGTCCATAACACTCTCGCTGACATGGGCGTTACCCAAAAAGTCTGGGTGGAAAACTGGGGTGGGGGGGAGCAGAAGGAGGCCCTGGGGAGCGAGCGGTCCTCTGCATTGATCCGCAGCCTGGCCCGGTGAGCTTCTGCGAGGGGGCGTAGGCGGGTGCGCTGCCGCAGCGGCGAGCATCCTGCGTACCAGGGTGAGGCTGAGCAGACAGCGAGCCCCGAGCGTGAAGGATCCCCAGGCTCAAAGGAAGAAAAGCAACCCCTGTGGGGCGGGTTCCTCTTGCGCCTCAGCCCATGGGGCTGCGGGGCAGAGGCCTGAGCGCCAGGGGGCAGCCGTCTCCCTCATGTCCAGCAGCGAGCCAGCCGGGCCGGGGCCACGCCCCCTGGGGTGCGCCGGCCCCGTGGGTCCCCCCTCAGGGGTGTGGGTCTCGCTCTCGTGGCTGAGCCTGTGGGTAGGCCCTCCAGTCCAGAAGTCCCTACGCAACTTGGCCTCCGTGGTCAGTGTCGTTGGTGACTCGGTGATGGGCAAGCGGCCAGGCCTCCGGGTTGTGGGCTCCTAATAGCCAAGCTCCTCGGTGGAACAGTGGGTCACGCGGAGGGCTTGGGCCTGTCATGGATTAGGTGTCACAGGGTAAGTTTCACTCCTCAAAGGCCCCGTGTGAACTTACCCTGGGCCCTAGTAATATTTTAACTGCAGGTCCCATTAATCAAGCCAATGTGTACATGCCAAAGACTTTAATTTCAATTTATTCCTTCCGTTAACACGTCTTTGCCCAGCTTGGGGTATTCTGGAGCACGAAGCGCTCTCACTGTCCGTGAAGGGGCGCTCCTGTGGTTCCCGGGGACAAGAACTTCCGGAGACCCGCAGGGGAGGGGGGGGCCGTGGTGCGGTTTATGGATGACGCACAATAAGGGGGTTCCCCTCCTTACCTGCAGTGCCCCAGCTCTGCCCCTCCCACCATGGAAAAGGTCCAGTCCTCAGCAAGGCCAGGACGAAAGCCGGTGTCCAGAGTTTCTTCTGCACAGCCGAGTCCGGTCCAGCATCCGGCCAGCTTCGCGTGTTTCCGGCCGCAGCGCGGTGCTGCGCTGCGGTACTCGGGCGCCTCCTGGAGCCTGCGCGTGGAGCTTGCATGCGTGGCCACGGACCACGTGGCTGTGGAGAGAGGACACACAAATGCGAGGTGTGAGTGCAGGTCACTGGCAAAAGGCAAAGAGAGCTTAGTCCCTGGGGGTCCCATGCCCTCTGCCGCGCGTTCGCTGCGGGCCGCGTGTGATCGCGTGCTCCCGGGCGAGAGCGCGCAGGAATGAACGGCGTGAGCGCATCACGGGGCTGGGGGTGGGGGGGAGATAGAGAGATTCCTTGTTCCCCTGGGATTATATTAGCCTGGTTTTGGGATGGACCAGCTGACTTTTCAAAATGACCAATCAACTTCCCAAGCTTTCATGGGTTCTGGAGGGGTCTGCACCCCTAGTTAGGCTGGCAGGCCCCTGTGGCCCAGCACCTCCCCTGTGCCCCCAGCAACCAGTGCTGGAGGGAAGAAGGGACAAGTGTCACTCCCCTTGGCGAGGCAGTTCCGTGGTCCCCTGGGGTGCGAAGCTGGAGCTTCCTGGCGAAGCAAACCGGCTCGTGCCGGCCAGGTTATTAAGCCCCGCCCCTCGCGCCCGTTGCGCCCCTTCTCAGTGTCCGTCTAACCAGCGACGGGACTCCGTGCCGGCGGGAAACGTGGGCAAAGCCCCGTTCAAACGAGGTGCATCTGGTTTCCCTCTGTTTTATCTTTCGTTACTTCCCTGAGATTATAGGGGCGACAGTGTTTAAATTTAGTGCGACCCCCAGTATTTGATCCCAGTAGTAGTTCCCTAAGGTTTTGTCAATGGGTGTGTTTTAGCAAATGATGTAGAACCTCTGTTGTAGAGGCGCCAAAGAACACGTGCTTATTGACTTTGGAGAGAGAAGGGAGAGACAGAGAGAGAGAGAGAGACATCGACGTGAGGAACACCAGTCCATCACCTCCGGGGGCAGGGACTGAACCCGCGGCCCACGTCTGTGACCTGACTGGGAATCAAACCCCCAACTCTCCGGTTTATGGGGCTACCCTCCACCAGTTGAGCCCCACCAGCCAAGGCACCAGTTGGCACTTTTAACAGCCTTTTGTTATTTATTTTAGTATATATACATCTGGTTGTATATTTGTTATAGACAATTATTCTATAAATTTTTATTGCATAAACTTTTGAGTTCCGCTTGAGTCAAATTATGGACTTTCGTTCTAGGTAACCATGTAAATTTTATTCATCAGATAGTGTTACAAATATATAAAATATGTAACTTACTTATTAACCTTTTGCTTTCTTTCTCTGTAGCTAGTGGACTTTTCTTCTGTTTTTTTTTTTTTTTCCTTTCCCACCCTCCCCGGCCTGCCCCCTCCCACCTTTTTTTCTGTTTTAAGCTTTTAGCCGCTTGCAGCTGTGGTTTTCGTGTTCTGTCCCGGGCTGATGGGGAAGGAAGGGGCAGGGGGAGAGGCCCAGCAGCGTGTCTCGCAGCAGCCTCTGCCGTGAAGGTCCCTCCGTCCCTCCCCGCTTCCTGACCCCCTCCTCCCCACTCCTCCTCACCCCTGGTCCTCCCTCCGGGTGCGGCCCCCCTCCCACTGGAGGAGGGAAGCCTGGGGCAGCCCCGAGACAAACCCACGACGAGGGCACTTCGCGCAGGACCTGGGGTGCTGTGGCCACAGAGGGGACGCCCTCCCACGCTGTGACTCACTGGGTGGCGAGCAGCGCACCCCTCGGCACCCTGGGGCAGGCTGAAAGATACAGGAGCGTGGCACCTCCGAGTGTCACCACCCATGCTGCAGGGCCAGGGGAGTGTCCCACCTCGCTCCCTTTGGAGGAGCCTTTCCTGAGCTCAGCTCATCAAGCGAGGAAAAGGGGTGCCCGGCAACGCCCTCCCAGAGCCAGGGCTCCGGCCAGAGCTCAAGGAGGGCTCAGCTCTTGGTTCCGGAAGCCAGTCCCCAGCCAGCCCTGCAAGTACGGCCACAGCGGTGGTGCCAGGTGCCCCGGTGCCAGGCTGCGGCACCTCCCAGGCTGCTGGGGATGGCTGCCGAGCCCCTTACCGTGCAGAGAGCAGTCTCCAGACCTGCCACCGCCGTCTGACGCCAAGCCACCTGCCTGCCATGCGCAGGTTTCATTCTGAGCCACCTGTGGCGAGGCCGACAGGTTGGGGGACCTCCGCCATTGACCTCCGCCATTGGCAGCCCACTTGGTGCGGCTCCCGGGAGGAACAGCAGAGCGGGGCGGGTGCGGCCGGGCGGGAGCCTCCCACGCAGTGTCCTGGGGAGGCAGGGGAGGCTGGCCCAGGCCCGGCCCGTCTGGGTGAGCTCATCGCGGTTGTCCGGCCAGTGTCTGGTGCCAGGCCCCGGGGATGCGGGCAGGAACACCGGCCCTGAGCGCGGGCACCCCGCTGGTCAGTGCCCACGTGGAAGGCGCCCACCTGGGCTCAGTGCTGATGGACTGTCTGCAGAACCGTCTGGTCCTGGGAGGGGCAGTCTCTTCGGGGTCAGCGACACCCCAAGAAGCCACAGCATCAGAAGCACAGAAAACAGAGGCGCAGGTGACGCACCACCGGTGGGTGTGGGCATCGGTCTTGGTTTTATGGCCACGCACCGCCGCAGGGCACGCGTCACCATGCGACTTCTGCCCGCTCTCCTCCTGTGGCTGAGGGCTGGGCCCTACCGGCAGAGCTGCTCCGAACACCCCTGCCCTGGTCGTCCGGTGGGCTTGCACCTTCCTTTCTGGGGCCCTGCGCCCAGGAGCGAAACTCCTGGGTCCCGGGTGGCCCTCCTCGGGTGCTGGCAGGTCCTGCTGCAGTTCCCACGGAGGCTGAACCATGTTTGAACCCGTGACACACCCTGGACTCGCGTCTCTCTCCTGATTTGGGGAATCTTCGTCCATTACTCGTTTGACCAGATGTTTGTCGTGTTTGTTCTTTCATTGAGCCAATTGTTATCAAGGGCACCTTCTTTGCCGGACACTGTTCTGGGCATATGGACGCCAGGCGTGACCCCCAGGGCACAAGACCCTCCAGAGGCAGGAACAGGCGACAAGCAAGTATTAAAATAAATGCACGCTATAAAAGTTTATTTCAGATGAGGGTAACCGTCACCACGTATGACTAAGTTGTGATTATAATTCCTGGGACAGGCGACTTCTATGAGGAAAACGAGGCAGCGAAGGGTGACGTTGCTTCTCCATCCTCGTCCTTAGAGCGGTCGCAGGCGGTGCCGGGAGTCTGCCTTCCTAGTCTCTCTCGTGTGCTTTCGCTGGAACAGAGGGTGGGGTGGTTTTTCTTCTTCTAATCCTCACCAGAGGACAAGCTCGTTGACTTCAGAGAGAGGGGAAGGGGGGAGGGAGGGAGAGGGAGAGAGAGAGGCATCGGTGTGAGAGAGAAGCATCGACTGGCTGCCTCCTGCACACGCCCTGGCTGGGAACGGAACCCGCAACCCAGGCGTGTGCCCTGACTGGGGATCGAACCCGTAACCTTTCAATTCGTGGGATGACGCTCCAACTGTCTGACTCACAGCAGGTGGGGCTGGGTTTTCTTCTTCTTTAACAGACTGCTTACACACTTCCATCTCTGCCTTATTTACTCACTCCATGGGGGAAACAGCCTTTTGTGTCTCTTGGGAGAGGGTTATTCCCCATCCTCGGCCCAGTTCTGCTCCTCCAGTAACTGTTTTCCTGGGTGGGGTGCTCGGTCCTCTTTCAGGCATTGACCTCCCTCCCACGGGGGCTGAGAGGGCTGCAGGCAGCTTGAGTCCCAGGGTGCTTCGGGCACCCTGGGAGGGGCACCGCTGGGAGGGGCCGCACCCGCAAACTCTGGCCTTTTTCCTGCAGATCTGGGCCGGAAAGAGGACCCCCGCTGAGCAGCCCAGGCTACAGTCAAGTCTACGGGTGTGGGAGCAGAGCTCTCGGACCCAGGGCCTCTGGTCCTGCAGTCAGGGTTGGGAGGGTCATCCCTCGGGCTGTGGCCCTTGAGGGGTGGGGTGGGGGTGGGGGTGGGGGCGTGGAGGGGTCAGGGCAGAGTGGCTGGTCTTGTTGGAGCACCCTCGGTTTCCAGCTGTGAGAGTCCCTGTTGCTAATGGCGTTAGCGACTTTAAACCAAAACAAACTCGTCTATTTCTCTGGATATACCTACCTATTGTAGCTTTACAAAATAAGCTTCATGATTTACCGAAAAACTGTGAAGCTAGTATTGAGAGTTCGGTTAGCTTCCACACCAAAATTTCTTTCTTTTAATGTCGTGTAACTGTGGCGCATTTGTTACAATTAATGCACTGATATCGACACACTGGTATTCACCAACGCCCACACTCTGTTCCGATTCCCTTGGTTCGCCCCTAAGGCCCCTTCCCTGGCCCAGGACCCCACCTGGGACACCGACCGCCTGACAGACAAGGTGCACTTTCCTCCACTGCCGGGCTGAGCTTCCAGGGTCCGGGCCGACCTCAGGGAATCGGGGGTTGCTTGGCCAGGGCGCTGGATTGGGAGGCACGTGTCTTGAACTTTTGTTTCACGCCATGCCTGTCTCCAGCGTGGCCTTCGATTCCTCCCGCTTGGGCCTCCGTTTCCTCCTCCACGCAGTGAAGCCGGGGCTGCTGGTTTCTCCCACAGCCTCAATCTTGGGGTGCACGTGTGGGTGAAGCTTTCTGAGCCTTTCCTTGGGTCGGAGGGAGCTGGCCAGTGTGGCGGTGTCCCCCGAAGGCAGAGCTGGGACCCACTGAACGCAGCGCAGGGGCCCACACTCGGACTTGGGGCCCCTTCAGGTCAAAGGTCGGGGCCTGTCCTGCTTTGCTCCCGCGCTCCGCAGGGAAGGCCCTCCTCAGCTCTGGGCCCCCGTTTCCCTGCATGGGAAGTGCCAGCTGGTGGCAGCGTCCCTCTGGCTGGGGAGAGAGCAGATGGGCCCGGGGAGCGGGGGTTCTGTTTCCGGGCAACGGTGGGCTCCGGGCTCTCCCCGTTGGGTGAGGCCGGGGGACCCAGCCTCCGTCTGCCCTGCCCCACACCTGACTGGGGACCGGGAGCTGGTTGTCACAGGATGCCCCGCGCAGGTGCTTTCTTACTCAGCTCCTGCCAGGGCTGCCTGCGCCCGGGGCGGAGGGAGGCCTGCCAACGGCGCCACGCCCCTGGACCCTGGACTTGCCGGAGGCCGCAGGGGAGCTCGCATTGTTACCTGCCCGCCTGTGGTTCCTGGGCGGCTCCCGGGCGGCTCCCAGCATGGCCGGGCCGTGGTCCCCGCGTGCACGAGGCTTGCCCCCCAAAGGAGAGAGAGGAAGGAGACAGGGGTCCCCGGGAGGGTGACTACGAGGAGCCCTGTGCCCTCGCTCCCACACACCTGGGCTCTTCACCCAGGAAACGTCAGGCTCTTCCAGGCTTCTGAGCCTTTGCCCGCGCCGTTTCTTCTACCACCAGCCCCCTTCCCACTGTTAGCTGTTGAACTCCTACTCCTCCGTCAAGGCCCAAGGCAAAAGATCCCTCTTCTGGACTGTAGTTACTCCTACCTGTGTCGTGGCACGTATCACCCTGAGTCATAATAGGCCTCTTCCTGGGCAGGTGTCCCCGTGTCCCACGCTGCACCTGAAGGCGGGGTGGGGGCTGACTCCCCACGAGGTCGTGAGACACCTCACTCGCCCTCTGCGTTGTTGCGTTAAGTGAAGGGGGGGGGGCGGGTAGAGGAAGGGAGGATTGCTGGGGTGAATTTTTCCTGAGCACCTGCTTTTTCATTAATTTCTGCCCTCCTGCAGTAGGGGGCCCATCACCAGCTTGCCGGTGGGACAGGAGTAGCAGGAACTCGAGGGACCTGGCGGCGGGGAGAACCGGTGCTCAGCGGCAGCGCGATCTCTGTGACCCAGGACGCCTCCCCTCCCCCGCCCCCCGCCCCCGGGGCGAGCCCCACAGGGAGGGCGGGGCAGCGCACCAGGGCGTCCCCGAACGACCCGGCCGCCAGGGACTCTCTCAGGTTGCGCGCTCACAGTCCCATTTCCCCACGCGGGTGGCAGAGGGTCCCGGAGCCATTGCGACCTCCCCCCAGACCTGGGCGGTGTCGGAGCCCCGCGGCCTCCGGCAGACACTAGGCGGCAGCGCCTGGGGTCTGGCGGTCCCGGGGCGCACCTGGCCCCGCCCCTGCAGGCCCCGCCCCCCGAGTCCCCGCCTCGGAGCCGCGAACTTGTCTCGCACGCCGGGGACCCAGCGACAGGTGGAGTGGAGCCGAGCCGTGCCCGGTCCCCGACGCGCTCCCGGGCTCGCCATGGGCAACAGCGCGGGCCGCAGCGACTTCGAGTGGGTCTACACCGACCAGCCGCACACGCAGCGCCGCAAGGAGATGCTCGGTGAGCGCCGGCCCCAGGCCCCGCGGGCGCCCCTCTGCCCCTGCCCTTGCCCCGGGAGGGTGGGAGCGCCGCGCCTCCATTGGCCTCTCCGGCCCTGGGTCCCCTCGCCTGTCCCCGCCTGGGTCTGGAACGCCCCTGCGTCTCTGCCTCCGTCTGGGGCTCCAGGACCCGGGGACCCGAGCCGGGACCCGTGCGCTGGGGAGCGCGGCTTAGCTGCTGAGCCCCCGGCGGGGACCTGGGAGCAAACCCGGGACGCGGCGGTGCAGGAGTCGACCCGGGGCGGGGGGGGGCGGGGGGACCCCTCTGTGGGCGGGATGCGCCGTCCGCGCCCGGGAAGGAGGCTCGCGGGCGCCGGTCCTCCGCCGGCAACAGGCGCCCGGGTGGGCGGATCTCGGGGCCCCGAGGCCACCAAGTCCACCCCAGACCAGGTGTAGAGAGAATGAGCACCTCGAAGGAAGCAAACGCGGAACCAGAGATACAACCGTTTTTAAAAACACCGAGACTGGCCTGGGCCGGCGCTGCTCAGCGGGTTGGAGAGTGGTCCCCGAAAGGTTGCGGGCTGGGCCCGGGTTGGGGCACGCGCCAGGGGCCACCGATCCACGTTTCTCTCCCTTCGCCCCCCTCTCCCTAAGATCAGTAGGCACGCCCTCGGGTGAGGACTAACATTTAACAGTGATAAAATAAAAACCGAAGATGGTACTATGAAATGCGGCCCGTTCTGCCCAGGATCTTGCCCCTCTGTCGTTGAGCGCCTCTGAGGCCGTTTTCACCCACGCCGCCCGCGGTCTGGCGGGCGCGCCATCTTTCACGCCAGCGGCCCCCTCTGGACCCAGGACTGTGGGATAAAGGCCCCACGCCTCCCAAACAGCTCTTACTAGATGCCACCCAAGTCGCCCCACAGTGTCAGGCGGCTTCCTGCGCCGGGAGTGGTCCGGGGGGCACCCTGCCGCCTCCCCAGGACAGGTGGCCCTTTCCCGGCACCCTTTCCCGCACCTGGGGTTGGCCACACGTTTCCTCTTTGCCCATCAGCCTGAGGATGCAATCCTGTTTCCTGCGGGCCTAATGCACATTGATGCAATGGCTGGTCTTTGTGTTTAACTGACCATTTAATTTCTTTTTTTTTTCTCTTGGGGTTGGTCTTTTGCTTGTTGTTAGAGCTCTGGGGTTCGCAGGGTTTTAACCCTGTGTCTCCCGTGGTGAAAGTAGTTTTCTCGGTCATTTGCCCTCGGCTCTGACAGAAACTGTGTTCTTGCTGCATTTGAAGGGGTTGGCTCTTTCCCTGAGTGGTTTCCCTTTGGTGGCTCTCTGCCCACCACGCCCCGAGGCAATGGAAATACGCACCCCATTGCTTTGCCCTCCCAGGCCCCGGGTGCGCCGAGTGCCTGGTGCGGGGCTGTACCCCACTCCCGCTGGGGGTCAGGGCTGGTGACCCCTGGGTGGCTTTGTGACTCTGGGGTTTTCTCCTGTGAGGTGAGGAACAGCCCCACATTGTCTGTGGTCCTCCCAGTGGCAGCGGCGTCCCTCTTTCTGGGGGTGGATGGGAGGGGCCTTGCCGACTGCCTGGCCGCCCCCCCCCACCAGCTCCCACCAGCGTGGGGGCAGCCGCCCCCTCCGCAGGCCTCAGGCAAGGCAGCATTTCCTTCCTGTCAGCCAGCTCTCCCCTGCCCCCCCCACCCTTACGGGGCCCACCCGGTGCCTGGCCCCAGGTGGAGACGGCTGGGAGGCGAGATGGACTGTGGTATCGGCACGCTCTTCCTTGCCTGGCCGAGTGGGAACGAGGGGAAAGGAGGTCCCGGAGGGGCAGGCGCCCAGCGTGCTGCCAGCACTCCGGGACATGCAGGAGGCTCCCTCTGAAGGGAGGGGCCATAGGCTCTGGAACCCACCCTGGAGCTGGCCGGGCAGGGTGACGGAGAGGCTGGGAGACGTGGAGAGGGAGGTGACTCGGCCAGGGCAGGACCAAACAAATTCCTCGGGGCTGACTCCCCAGGAGCCTGGATCGTTTCCGTGTCCACTGGGTGCTGTGGGTCCCTCCCCCTGCACCCAGCTTCGAGCTAATGAACCTGAAATATGCTCTTCTCCCTCCCTCCCGGGCATTTGCACTGACTGTTCACCTGCCTGAATGTGCTTCCTCCTTGCTCTGCCCAGCTGGCTACGGCTCAGTCCCACCTCCTGCAGGAAGCCCCCCTGGCTGCCCTGGAGGACCCTGCCTGGGTGAGGGCATTCCGTGGCTTCAGTCCCTCTGGGTCTGGTCCTCATCTCCCTGGGGCAGGCTGCAGGGGTCCAGGGTGTGGTGGCCTCAGTTGCTGGCGAGGACCTCGGCACTCACTCGTCAGCCCTGTGACCCCGGGCAAGTCAGTGAACAGAGGAAGACACGGGGTGGGGGGGGGTGCTTGTCGGAGTTAGGAGGGGTGAGAGCAGGACTTCCCTGCAGACCTGTTGTGCAGGGCAAGGGGAGGGAATGTTGAGTGCCCAGGGTAAAAGTTACCTGCACGATAACTGTTACTTCCTGCAGTCAGGCGTATTCCCTTCGAGGACAGGGGCACGCCTGTGCCATTCCCAGCTGCAGAGAAACATGTGTAATTGCCAGCCAGCGCCTCTTTGCAGGAGAGGCAGCAGCGTGAGGCTCGGAGAAGGGAGGCGACTTGCCCAGGGCCGTGCAGCTCGGTGGCCACCGAGGCCAGCTTGGTGTCTGGGCGGGCTCCGGCCCCACGCGGGGGGCTGCTGTGCCCGTGCCAAGTGGCCCAATGCAGACCCTGTTGTCAGTCAGGACCCAGAAGGTCCTGGCACAGAGCCGGCCGGGTGCTCTCTGGGCAGGGCGAAGTCCGCCTGCAGCTCCTGCCGGCCGGGCCATGCTCCCCCGGGCACCGCGTCCTAGGGAAAGGGGGACCTGCAGCAGCCCCTAAGAGCCGTGCACCTCGGGGCCGCGGCAGGCCCAGGCCTCCTGTGCTGAGGGCAGGCACAGAGCCAGCCAGAACCTGGGCCCATTGAGATCAGAAGCCAAGCCAGGCGTGGCTGCGGAGCGAGAAGCAGGCTTTGGATTTGTCTTTTCAAAAACAAATAGCTTTGTGGCTTTCTTTTTGTTCTTTACTTATAAAAACAGGGCACACACGTAGTAAGAAGTTCAGATAATCAAAGGAAAACAGGAAGTAAGGCTCTTGGCACTGGCTGGACCGTTTGCCTAGGGAAGGCTTTGGTCGGCGGGGCCCTGTGGGGCCAGCCCTGAAATCCAGAGCAGAGCTGGCCGCGTCTCCTTGTCCTCGGGGAGTGCGGGGACTTGCTTCACTCCTGCGTTGCCCGGGACAGCGGGCTGACCTTGGGGCGTCCTCTCCTGCCCCGCCCCCTCCACCAGGCGGAGGCTGCAGCCCGGGCCCACCTAGCCGCCCCCCCCCCCCCCCCCCCTGCAGTCCGCAGCAGAAGGAGGGCGGCCTTCCTCCCGTCCTGTCCTGAGTGGCACGGCCCGGCCATGAGCCAGCCACCCTCTAGCCAGAGCTGTGAGTCCCGAGACAGGCCGGCCGGCTGTGATGGGTGTGGTAAGGGCGGGGAGGGCGGCCGGCCAAGGGAAGGAGGGGCCCTGGCACCCCACGTCGGGTGAGGAGGCCGGAGGGGTGGTGGTCTGGCCTGCCCCAGCACAGACAATAGGTGGTCCTTTAGGGGTTCCTCCTGGGCCCCATGAACCAGTCGTGTCCTCTCTGCTGAAGTCCCCCGGGGGCCGGCCCATCTCTGCCTTGGCCTCTGCAACACAACCAGGCCCTGGCCGCTGCGCCTTCCCCCTGCAAGTCGCTCCCTGGCCCCTCGGTGGAATGCAACCCCCCCCCCGCCCATTTCCTACGTCGTGGCTTTTGCAAATGCTGTTCTCTCTGCCAGAATGCTTTTCCCTTACGTTTCCTCGACTGAACTCCTAAGCACCCTTCAGGTTTCAGCCTACATGTCCCTTCTCTCTAGAACATTCTCTAACAACACACACTGCACGCTGGTCAACGTGACCCCCCGCCCTCTCCCCCCCCACCGTCTCGAGGGAATGATAAATTCCCTGGTCCTATAAATATTTCTGTCGTGGTCACTTGCAGGTGGCCATCATGCCTCCTCGCTGACCGCAGAGTCGGGCAGGGAGGAGCCCGCTGGGTGCGCGCCAGCCAGCCGCAGGTGCGAGCCGAGCCTTCGGCAGGTGCAAACTCCTGCCCCCACCGCCGCCTGCTCCCTCATCTCCGGGAGGGAGGCCTGGGCGATTTCACCTCGCGGCCTTTGCCCTGTCTGCCATCCCGCACTGATGTGTGGGGTGACGGCTTCCACCCCCCGACTCCCTCCCCCCCAACACCTCCGAACTTCCTGGAGGGCAGGGGCCACTCCCTCCGGGCCTGGCACCGCTCGGACTTTCTAGAGAGGTTGAGTGGACCCCCGAAACAACAGGCAGGGTCTCGGCTCCGCCCAGTGCCTGCCAGGCGCTGGGAGGGGCTTCCCTCTCCGCGGGGCCGCTGGGGGGCGGGGCCCGGCAGCCCCAGCCCGCAGCTTGAGGTGCGGTCCCTGCCAGCTGCATTACTGGGAGACACCCTGTTTCGAGCGACGTTTCTCAGCTGGTGCGTGAGGCTGACCTTTTCTTCCTCGATGTCACTGCTTTCTTTTTTTTTTAAGATTTTATTTATTTATTTTTAGAGAGAGAAGGGAGGGAGAGAGCGAGAAACATCAATGTGCAGTTGCTGGGGGCCGTGGCCTGCAACCCAGGCATGTGCC